ACTCCAAATTTTGAGCTGGTTTTGTTTTGTATTTTTTTTTGTTTTCTTAACGGATATATCGGTTTTAGTTAAATAAATTGATTCAGAAAATGGAATTCAAAACTGGGTATTCAAATAAAGGAGAAAAAAAAACTTGTTGGTTTGAGCGAGTGATTTTGAACTTTGAAGCGTCAAACATCTTTTTACTCAAAAAAAAAAAAAAAAAAAAAAAAAAAAAAAAAAAAAATAAGAAGAAGAAGAAGAAGAAGAAGAAGGAGAGAAAGAGAGGCAAGTGAGGGAGTTTTGATATGACACGGTTTTCTAAGATGAAGACCTTTTTGGGACTGAGTTATGTGCTGGTTCGTTTATGAAAAATTCGCTCAAGAACATGAAGTTTTGGAACATATAACTAGTAAAAAAAAAAAACGGTCCAGAACTTGGAGTTCCAAATGTAGGTATTTTGGGAAAACACAAAAAATAAAATAAAAAAAGGATATGAGCATAAAATATAAAATAATATGGGGAATAATTTTTTAAAAGGAAAACTTTTACATGTAAATATTTCTAATAATTTTTGAATTTTTTTTTTGGGCCAAACCCGGCTGATTTTCTAATTTGATCGTCGATCCATTAATCTGACATGATTTTTGGGTGGCCAATCCGGCTCACCGATTGGTGTTTTTAAACCTTGATTTATATCAAAACCTATGGTCCAAACATAAACTTATGAACATAACATTAAAATAAAAAGGGTAGTTGGGAACTTTGAGTTCAAACCACATTTTTTTGTCGAAATCTAAGTTTGGGACTCTGAATTCTAAATATAACTTTTAAGCAAACAATTTGATTGGGATTCCAAGTTCCAAACCGACGCCAAAGCATAAAGCAAGGAAAGTAGTTTGGAACTTGGAGTTCCGTACCATAGGTGTGTTTTAAGGACCTCAAATTTTGGGGATGTAACTCCTCCAATCCATATTATACTCAATAAAAAAAAAATCTTTCAAATTGCAGCCTTCATGAGTTCGACAAAAAAATGCCTCAAGAATCAAGATTGAATAGAAACCATCCAATTAAGTGCAAGAAAGTCTAAATTCAAAACTTTTCTTTTTTAATATGATCATCTAGCAATTTTTATGAGGTTTCCCAAATTTGAATCAATAAAATCTTCCAAGCTTTGAACCGAGTGTCCCTCTTTCAGATTTCCAAGTTTTGAAGCGATTTGTTTGACTTATACCTTTGTTTTTTATTTGAAATCAGAGTTCCAAAAAACTATTATCCTTAATTGTGTTATGAACTTAGAGTTACAAATTTAGATTAAACAAAAAAAAGAAGAAACGTTCAGAATGCAAAGTCCCAAACATAAAAATGTTTATAACAAAAATCTATTTTTGGAACCTTGAGTTCCTAACATGACGATAAAACAAAAAGGGATGTTGGGAACATTGAGTTCCAAATATATGGGAAATGTTTTTATACTTCCCCTACAACATATATGATCTATGCTTCTCCTACCATCCAGCCATCCAATTTTGATCAAGAGAGCCACTCACCGTTTGATCTTAGATCCGATGTCTCAAAGTATTTTATTTTTAGTTTTTTTATAAAAATTGTATGAATATGAAATTTGGTCCATTCCATCTTCTCATTGGGGCGAACCTATAAACAATATTTAAAATAATTTTTCGATAAAATAGAATAACCAAAATACCACTTGAAGCTTTCAGGGGTATTTTAGTCATTTTATTTTATTGAAAATATTTTTTATATATATTTTCGCTAGTGCGACTTTAATAGAGGATTGGACATACAAAATTTGGTGTTAAAATAGTTTATGAAAAAAAAAGTTAAAAATAAAATAATATAGAAACGTGACATTGTGATTGGGACAATCTTAGCCCTCCATTCAAAATGGACGGTTGGATAAGGGGAAGTATATAAGTTGTATGTTGTAGGGGAAACATAAAAAGCTTGCCCCAAATATATTTGTGTCAAAATCTACGATTGGAAATCTTACGTTCTAAACATAATTTCTAAGTAAAAAAATATATTTGGCACTCTTTAAGTTCCGAACCTACAACAATGGCACAAAGCAAGGAAGTTAGCTCGGAAGTTGGAGTTCCATCCCATGTACCATCGACATTTTGGGGAAATATAAAATAAGAGAGAAAAATGGAGGACATTCACAATAAAAAAAACCCCAAGAGATTTCATGCTCCTGAGGGGGGCATACTATCCATTTACTCCGGAAATACCTAATTTAAGAGATTTTTTAGGACCCAAATTTTGGGGATATAAACTCTTCAAACCATACATATTAAATAACAGTAATAATAATAAAAAATTTATAATAAAAAATCAAATTGAATTCTTCATGAGCTTGAAAACAATAATTCGTCCAATTTTTGAAAAGTGAGACCTAAGTGTTAGGAAACTCAAAATTCAAAAATTTTCATTTGAATTTAATCATCTACTGATTTTTAGGTAATTCCCAAAATTTTGGATAAAAAAATCTTCCAAAGTTTTGAACCAAGAGTCTCTGATTTGAAACTCCACGTTTTGAACCAACTTCCTTGCCTTACGCCTTTGTTGTTGATTTGAAACTTGAAGTTCAAAACAATTCTTTGCTTAAATACTATGTTTGGAACTTAGAGTTTAGAACTTAGATTTTACCCAAAAATTTGTTGAGAATTCAAGGTTTCAAACATAAAAATGTTTATAACCTATATTTGGAACCTAGATTCCCAACATAACGTTAAAATAAAAACGGATGTCCAGATCTTTGAGTTCCAAACATATTTTTGGTCAAAATCTAAGTTCGAAACTCTAAATTTTGACCATAAATTTTTAAGCAAAAAAATTTGTTATGAACTCTACGTTCCAAACCAACAACAAAGGCACAAGGCAAAGAAGTAAGTTCAAAACTTGGGAAAATATGAAATAAGGGAGAAAAAGGGGGGTAAAATTAGAAAAGCCACATTATTTCATGCTCCGGAACCATTTACTCCTTCGGGAAAAACCCAATCTAGGAGTATTTATCGGATCCCAAATTTTGGGGGAAGTAACCTCTTCAACCCATGTGCTGTACTCAATAATTTATTTTATTTTATTTTTTTCAATTTACATTATTCATGAGCTTGAAAAAATAATGCCTTAAGATTGAATAGGAATACTCCATTTCGAAAGATGTGATCTAAGTGTCAAGAAACTCAAAATTCAAAAATTTCAATGTTAGGAAACTCAAAATTCAATAATTTTCTTTTAAATATAATTATCTGGTAGTTTTTAAGTTGTTTCCAAAATTTATGATAATTTTTTTTTTGCCGAGCTAGTCCTTTGTTCGAGGGAATAACTATACAATATGCTCCTATAGAAGCGTAATATATACATATCAAAATATCTTTTTTTCCTTTGTATTATGTATTTTGAGTTCAGGTCTGCATCTAATCCAACCCAAACCGGCAACTTTAGAGCTGGTCAACCCATGCCCGTGTCTTGTAAATAAGCCTTTTGGAGGTAGTTTCTTAAACCCTGGATCAATGAGGCAGATTGTTTACCCACTGATCCGTTTTAGATCACTGGATTAGTTATCTATATCTGGTTTAGATCGATTCAAATTAATTATTCAAAAATATAAAAATGGATAAAATAAAATATAAACAAATGTAAGGATTTATGGATCATGGATTAAAAGGGACATTAATAAACATTAGACAAGTTGTAAAAAAAAAGCGATTGTATATTATGAGCCCATTTATTTTTGATACAAGGATGTCCCAATCACTTTTGGTCATTAGGTGTGAAATTCCATAGATAAAAGTGTGTCAAAAAATTCAAGAAATATTCTCTTGAACTTTATGCAAAAACAATGACACATCTTTAACCACCGTTTCAAATCTAACATTCAATAACAATCACGACCTTCTTATATGAAAAATAAATGGTCTCGATATATATATTTCCACAAAAGAAAAAAAAAACTTATATAAGGTTGACAACTTAACATATAGAACTAAGGTGAACCTTTAAATTCCATTGAGAAAGGTAATTTGATATTGGAAAAACATCTTATTGATCATCTCGATCTCGAGATGTGTAGATATGGTGAAGAAAAGAGACTTTAAATCCTAAAAATAGTACATCTTGCAACATATTATATGGACTGTTAATTTTCAAGATTTTCATGCATTCATAGATCTGCTTGATTCGAATTATTTTAGAGTCCAAAATTTTATAATTAGAGATAAAAATAGATTATTGTCTCACCCAAGAATTTTTAACACCAAAATTACATCTCATAACAAAGTTTGGAGGTGCACCTTATTTTGATTATTAAAAATTGCAACTTTATGCAAACTATACCCCGTGCATTAAATAAAAAAAAATAAAAAAATAAATTTTTTTTTAAAAAAAAAAAAAAGTGAAAAAGATAAGTAGAGATTTTTGGGCGGAATCGGAGCCATGTTATATCTTAGAAGTGAGAACTGATTTGATCCCGAATCTGCATCCAGATGGGCGATCCCGACCAGAAATCGCCGGCTTTCAAAAGACTAGCTCGAGCGGTCCAGACAAATTCGGTATGAATCCTAGACTAGGAGCTGCGTGGCCCTCCAAAAGGGTAGGCACTGTGCATCATTCTAAAGTTTATTGGGATAATCTATGTGTGGCTCTACATGATCCATGCAACGCCAATAGAGAGAGAGAGATATTTCATTTGCTGCATAAATTTCACAGAGAGATTTCATTTGCTGTATAAATTTCAGAGAGAAAGATTTCATTTGCCGCATAAATTTCAGAACGAAGATAAGTGCCCCACATTTTTCATATCCTGATCCGCTCGCCATGAGGGGCGTAGCCATGGAGGCCACTCTTAGAGAGAGAAGAATGGTTAGAGCTTAGAACCCACAAAACAATAAACAAATATAGTAAGAGAGATATATAAAAGGAAGGAAGGAAAATGCTTCTCACAATTCCTCCTTCGAGTCTCTTCTTGAGCTCCACTCGCCTCTCTCTCTCCTCGAACTCCACTCTCTCTCCTCCCCACAACTCTCTCTCTCGTCTCCTCGCGTCTTCAAGGGGATTCAACAGCTCATTAAGATGCACTAGACTGCCAGATGCCCCAGAAATAGCTCAAGTTCCCTCTGAAGAAAAGGTGCATCTTCATTTTTTTCTGATTTGTTTTCCCTTTCTAGAAATTGGGGTTTGTTTATCTCAGAGAATTGATCATTTATGGATGGGCATTGCTCTAGTTTTGTGAAGTTGAATTGGTTATCTTACTAACAATGGATGAAAATTTAAAATTTGAATTTCTAAACCTGAGGATGAAACAATGCTTGGTGGGTCTTTAATATTTGTCATTTTTTCTTTCTTTTCTTTGTTTTCAGTCATGTCATTGTTGTTTGGGTTTGAGTTTCTTTTGTAGCTAATTGTTGGGATTTTATGCTGAAAATTGTCTATCTTGTTTGAGTTTTGGGGGAATAACTTGTGTGAAGCCTTCACATATAAAACAATGTAAAAAATTGCCCTTCCCATGGTTTATGTAAACTATGCATATTCTTACTTTCTGCTAAAATATTCCCTTAAACATATAATTTTAGAGATTGCTGGTTTTGTTTTGCCTGTGACAGTACATGTACGGGGAGTGAAGAATAGGTAATTTTTATATAACATCACTGGGTAGTTTGAAGTCTCTAAGAGGAGTTGGTATGCGGAATCAATTCATCTTTTTCGCTTAATATGTTTTTCGACTAATGTGGAACACAGTTGACGGTAAAGTTGCAATTCAGTAGTGCTTCTATGCCTAGACCTTTGAACCATATTTAAGAATAAAACTGCATATTTAGGAATTTTCCAATGCACCTTTGAACCTTACGTTAAACACAAAACAAAAGGCTCAATTGTAGGACATTGATAACCAAAATCATTAGCACTTGCTCAAAAAACATTGATAACCAGAATCTACTTACCAAAACAACAGCATTAACAAAGGCAATACAAAAATCTTCAGATGCCCCATTGTGTGTGGGACAGGTGATTTAATTTCTATTTTCAATACCATCGGGTTTGCCTTTTAGAACTGGGGAGGGAGCTGTCGCACGTTACTGGAGATGTTCCACAATTTCATAACTTCGAAAGAGATGTAGGTTTCACCTGAGAAAGCTAGCTTTATGCGCATTCATAACAAAGTGAGTGAACCATAATCATCATTTAGAAAGAAATTAGAAAGATCCAACATCATCCCTTTGGCAAGGCAGTACAGTATCCAACAAGTTCCATTTGGTCAGATTGAAGGATGTGTGCACATCAAAGCAAGATGGCCACTTGGTCAATGACTATTATATTGGAAAAAGTACTTTTAGACTTTTAGTCACGATTAATGGTCAGTCTGAACAGGGCCGTGGAGCCTAGTTTGTAATTATTTTGAGAGGCGGTAAGGGTGGTTTGGTGGCCCTTGTTTTGCAGGGAGTTGAGGGACAAGGAGCTGTTGGGATTTTCCAAGTCCTCTAGGGACATTTATGTGCTAGTATTGTGATTTAACTAGTTGATATCGAAGTGGGTTTTTTTTTCTTTTTTTGATTATAATATGAAAATGGGATAGTCTTTATCAAAAAAGAAAATGAAGAAAATGGGATATGCTGATTAAAAAAAAAAAGAAAAAGAAAAAGACCATAAAGAAATGGGATCTTGTCTTACCTAGCTGTTTGTCCCATGATGACAATAATGAGCACAAGATCGTCGGTCTCTCTTGTATGGCATTTGGTTGGTTGGCCAGCCTTGAGAAGGCTCTTCTTACTAAAGGCCAACTACAATACAGTAGTGGAATCCATCTCCTGTGGATTTACTTGCTGTGTTGGTGGACTGAGGAGATGCTGGATGATCTTTTACTACATGGTGATTTTATTTTTATTGCTACATCGCCTAATTGCTACACGGACTTTACTTTCTCTCTAATCTCTTTCGCATAACTTGGGTGATGTCATTCTCTATTGCCAATCTCGTTTGATGTCAGGACCCTACATGCGAGTTAAGAGTCTTCCCTTTGGATGGATTCTGTTGGCAGCTCTTATTATTGTTATTTTTATTTTTTTTAAGAAATTTGATGGTAGCTACACGTGCAATTATGATCTTTCAGGCGTGGATTAGGGACTTGACATACATGGATGATAGTACTGCCAAGGAAAAAGCTCTCATGAATACTCTTTGGGTCTTCCAAATTTTTGCTGGTCCTTTTATTTGATGGTGAAAGGAGACTTGCTTAATGTTGTTAGATGGGCTTATAAGCAGTCAGCTTTTCCTTGGAGGCTAGCATATGTTTTGAAAGAAATTCATGACACTAGTAGTAGCAAATGCACCTTGTTTAGGTAAATTTTTAGAGGAGACCAAAACAAGAAACTGAAATTGATATTGTGAGCAAAAGAAATGTCGACGCGGAATCCTTTTTTATGGGAGATGTGTTATCTCACCTTTGATTTTGTCATCTTTTAATAAATGTAGTGTACATTTCAAATTATCTGCTCCTTGTGGAGCAATTTGATGTGCACTTATTAAAACAGGCTGTGACCCTGTTTCTAGTTTTTCTGAAGTCTGTTGCACATAGACTCAGTTTTGCATATGAAAATGAATACATTTGTAAATCAATTTTGATCAATGAAACTTAAGTTACAAAAAATTGATATGCCCTTATTTTCCTTTGTAAGAAGCTTGTTATCCATCCAAAAAAAAAAACTAATGTTCTATACATTGAAATACATCTCCTATTTATGATTTGTCAATGCGATAGCAATCAATTTGTGAAAGCTTTTCACTATGATGTTTTGTTTCTTTTGCATGAAATCTTGAGACAAAACATGTTCTCTCGTTCTGATGTTTCTCCATTTTCCTTGCTTTGTGTGTATAGAAGAAATCTGTTTGAAAATTCTTGATTAGGCAAAATTTGAAAGGTCATGTCAAGTAGTGGGACATGCTCCTTAAGGCGTAACTCAATAAAAGAAAAATATAGAAGGGTGAAAGAGCTACATGAGAAAGGTTTTTGGCCTTTCAGTACTTTGCAGTAAGAAGTTTCCTCCCAAATTTTGCTGGACATTCAAGCCTTCCTATTTTGCCATATATAAGCTAGAGTTTATTTTTGAACAATTGTTTCATGCAGGCTGGACCGCATTTGTACAATATGCGGTCCAGAGTTATAAAGCATCCATCTTAAATATGGATGCAAATAGGTGGTCTATCTAAAAACAATTGTAACTAACGGTCCAAATGTTTTTTAATATATTCATTATTTCTAGGTTTCAAAATTTATTTATTTTTTCATATTCATGATCTCCATGTTAAAGATTATATATTCTCTAAAAATTAGGATCAAATTATATTTAAAATATATATTTATTGCCAAGCCTGCATTTCTACATGTGCGCACTTGGCTACATGCTAACTGCGTCCTTTATTTTTTGGCCTGTGTTGGTTTTGATGTCTTTCTGACGTAAATTGAACTTCTTCTTTTTATTCTTTAGTTGGGAAGGCTTTATCATTGATGGGCTCGCTGACAATTGTTTAACTGAAGATCAGTTGGTGGTGGATGAGGGGTTACCCTCAGCTGCTTCTATTGTTTCAGGAATGATAATCATTCTAAACTATATCCAAAACAAATGATTATATTGTCACTAATTATTGGTCATCACACATAACTTATGTTTTCTTTCTAGATGCGGGGAATGGGGTTATTAGATACATAAAACTTGCACTTAAGACTGAATTTCCAATCACGGTGCTTGTTTGTTGTGAAAAATTTGATCCAAATAATTTTTCTTTTTTGGTGACAACTAATGATTTTTATCAAAATTTAAATTTCCAATTTCTTAACATTTGTTTTGTTGTTAATTTTTGTGATAAATAATTTTTCCTTGGGTAAAACACTTGATATTGAGTCCTTTGCCCTTGGCATCACACATTTGAATGCCTGACTCTTTTCTTTTGAGAGATGTAAAAGCTAAATTTTCTTGCTCTAACTTTTACCTTATTGGTTATTATATATTGATGAGCTACATATAAATGGCAGAGGGAAGGCCCAGATCTTCAAACCCTTTTGAGGAGATTTTGGAATATTGCTGCTCCATATTGGTCATCCGAAGACAAAGTTCAAGCCAGATTAAGACTGGCGGCTGTGTTTGCTCTTACACTGGCAACCACTGGTATCAGTGTCGGGTTTAATTTCCTTGGCCGAGACTTCTATAATGCACTTGCTAGTAAGTAATTCACTTGTCAAGTTCCTTTTTATCCTTGATATGTATTGTTTTATTTTCTCTTTAGGCAAACTATACTATAATCCAATGGTCTGGGAAGACCATACTAATTCATCATGATCCATTGAATTGATGGATGGTGATGCAGAGAGAGAGAGAGGTATCCACCATCAGGACCATCTCATGTACTGGTGATTCCCACGCTTACCCCATCACTGTGAATTATTTCATTGGACTATGTTTTTTACATTGTCCATGGGGTCAATGTATTCTTCCCTGATTATTCATTCAAGTTAATTTTGTCCTTATGGGGGTTTCTCTTCCAATGTGTTCTCTTTGTATATTTGTTACAGGTTTGTATTTTTGCTGTTAGATTGATTATACACTTTCATTTTGATAGACAAAGACCAAGAACAATTTACGAAACAACTTCTGTACTACTTGGGGGGTTTTGCTGGAGGAATTCCGGTGAGCATATTGCTGCACTCTCTTAGGTATTGCTCTGCAAGCCACAAAGTAGCAGCCTTCATATGGTTCGCATGTTTATGATACTATTCTATGTATGCAAAAACAAAGATAAAACACACAGACGCGCATGAATGAACTATCTAAGAGCCTAAATAACATTTTCTACTCAACAAAATTCCTCATCTGGGTTTTGAATTATCTGGCTGTTCCTTATGAATACACATGCTGATAATTTGGACAGTAATCCTTTGTCTATATATCTGATGGTTTTGGTCCACTTGAAAAACTGAAATCCAGTTTTCTGGATTGCACTTAGCTTAATTATTTTACCTTGATAATTTAATCTTTGAAACGACAAGAGAAGTTTGGGAACTTCGTCAAATTTTTGAAAATTTTCTGATTGAAAAGTTGTAAAGACTATGTTTTATAGAAAGTAGAGGAAACTTTATAGCAAATAAAACAAAAATGTTTTAGGTCAATAAGCCAAAACCCAGTTATGGGAATCTTGGCAAGTATACCTATTTCAATTTGGCAAATGGATACCGAAGGCTTGCTCGCTTCCTTATTCAGTCAATTTTGCTTGGATTTTACCCTATTTTACTGAAAGTTTGATCCATGGTTTAACATTTTACTCCTGACCTGTCTTAGTTTTTCTTCAGCTTATTGGGTTGTCTACTTCTCTGTTTTTGGATCCTGATTCTTCTAAATTATAGTTCTAGCTTATAGGGTCATCTAGCTTTTGTTTAACCCCTTGGTCTTGGTTTTGCAGTTCTTTGTCCTCAGGGACTATGCAAGGGAAACTCTCTCTCTTAGGTGGAGATCATGGATGACAAGTTATTATATGCAACGCTATTTTGAGAACCAGGCATTCTACAAAATCCAGTCCCTCTCGATAATAGACAACCCTGATCAACGTATTGTTGATGATCTTAGTGCCTTTACTGGAACGGCACTCTCATTTTCGTTAACTCTCTTCAATGCAGCTGTGGACTTAATATCATTTAGTAATATTCTTTATGGTATTGATCCTCCACTATTCATTGTGCTTTTGGTTTACTCGCTGGGAGGCACGGCAATTAGTGTGTTTTTAGGAAAGGTGGGTCTTACAATCTTGAAGCATCATGGTATTTAAATATTCGGGTTAGTAAATGGCAAAGTATGTTATATTTCAATAACTTGAGAATCTATGGTCTATTGGGATCATCATCCAATCAAATAGATGGTGATGTAGAAGTGATACCCACCAAATCAGGCAATGGCTCCGATCGTGGTTCTCATTCTTTTCTGTACCACTGTTCATCATTTTGTTTCAATGATGAGGACCCCAATTTACTACAGTTTGCCATGGTCAATTGGTTTATAGTATACTTGCCCAGCATGCGTGTGTGGCTAGCAATCTTAGGTGAAATGAATTATATGCCATTTGTTTTCAGGGTTTGGTCAGTTTAAATTTCATGCAAGAGAAAAAGGAAGCGGATTTTCGTTATGGACTTGTACGTGTCAGAGAAAATGCTGAATCCATTGCTTTTTATGGTGGAGAGGGGAATGAAATGCAACTTCTGCTGCTACGCTTTAGAAGAGCTTTTGAGAACCTAAGTGTATGATAACATGTTCAGGCGCTTTATGTTATTATTTTTTAGCATCAATTTCCTCTGCTCAACCTTCACAGAGAAACTATTATACTCGAACAGGGTCTGGATCACCTTCATGAATAGTGCATCTGCTCCATAAACAAGAAATTTCAAATGTGTTTAGACTGGTAATGTTAAAAATGATTGTTTTCCCAAAATGTTTGGTGTTAAACATATCATATCATTCTTTTTAAGAGTACTGGACTGGTTTCGAAAGAGTCATTTATCATTTATCAAAAGTTGTCCAGTGCAGTGCAGGCACTGCTGGAATTCCTAATTTGTGGAGCATCTACATGATGAGACACTTGTTTTAAAAATTTCCAGAGAGCTTTTTCTGCAATACATTTACTTCCTCTTGGCACTCACTAGAAACTTTATTTGATTAAAACCTATCTTTTTCCTTATTTTTTGTACTCGATAGGCAAATTACTTCATGATGTTCAAATAGGAGACATGGTTTTTGCCTTTTAAGAAGAAATCTTCACTTGTGTTATTTGTTTTCATCAATACCATTTTTGCAGACCCAAAACATTTTTTGGAATTCAATGGTACCGTTGTGGGATAGCAGTTGTATAGATTCAAAGTTTATAACTTGTAATGGTTTTGGGCATGGACTGAAACTGAAACTTTGGATTTTGTTTGGGTTCATTACTTTCTCAAAAGTTAAAAAATAAAAAGTTATGGTTGAAACTTGAAAGTGTGTGGCTTGCTTATGGAATTTTGCTTCTAAAATCTGGAAACAGATACTAATTCCTATTCTTGATGGATTCCAACCATAACTCGTTTATAACATCTGACATATGGGTGCCTGCTGTTAACCCCCTTTGCAGTATCAGCCTTGTAGAAATCTCTTTCCTCTCCTCTCTCTCTCTCTCTCTCTCCTTCCCTGAGACATGATTCATTTCTTTCCGACATCTTCGAGGATGATTGCTTTCAGGAAACAAGTACACCTAATAGTTGCTCATATCTAAATGGGTTTGGCTTGATTTGCTTAATACTATTCACTGCTTGCTAAATAGTTTTGCATCTGATTGGCTAATCATCTATTATCTATTGTTTATGCAACAGCAACTTCTGATTTCTTCACGAAATCTGGAGTTCTTCACGAATGGGTATCGGTATCTTATTCAGATTCTCCCTGCCGCTGTTGTTGCTCCGATGTATTTCGCAGGAAAGATTGAATTTGGAGTTATCAACCAATCTGTTTCTGCTTTCAATCATATTCTTGGTGACTTTTCACTGATTATCTACCAATTTCAGGCTATCAGTGCATTTTCAGCTGTGATTGATAGGTTAGGTATGAAACTTGCCTTCTAGTGCCTTCTGTAGTTCCGTGGACTACTGGAAGCTATAGTCCATTGGGTCATGACTCTGTGATAGAGTGGTAGATTGTGATGGAGAAGGAAGGGGGGGGGGGCGCACCAGAACATGATATGCCCCAAACAGTGGATCCCACTGCCTCTCCATCACTGTCCATTTCCAGTCATGTCCTCAATGGGCATTGGACCATATTATACTTTCCCATGTTTGTGCATGTGGTTTTGATGTACATATGTGGACATTGGACTCTTTGTTGATATTAGATCTTTTCCATGATTCTTTGTGCTTCCAACTGGTGGCATTATCTCCCAGTTTCTATTTAAGTTTGGGTGTGGTATGTATAAGGCTGAGGCCCTAAATAATCAAAGTAAGGCACACCTATAAATAGTGTCAACATATGTCATTTTAGTATCAGAAATCTTTATGATGGCCTGAAAATTTATTTTTATCTCTAATTATAAAATTTAAAAATTCAAAAATAGTGTAGATCGAGTAGATCTATGAACGTTTTAAAATATTGAAAATTGACGGTCTAGATAATACATTACAAGATGCATTATTTTCAAGACTTGCAATGTATTTTTTCTCATGTCCATACATCTTGAGATTGAGATGACCGAATTATGGGTTTTTCAGAACATCTTCTAGTGAATTCTGAGGTGCACCTTAATTTGATTGTTTAGGGCCTCACCGTTATATAAACTTTTCCCTTTGTGTTCTATAGATTCGTAAGTTTTTTTTTTAGCTAATTCCTGTTTTTTTAAAACGAAAGTAGCTAGGTTAGCTTGTACTTTGAGACAAACTTCAAAGGTTTGAAACTCTGACCTCCTCACCCAAACTGATATGTTCACCTCTAAGCTGAAGCCTAAGGGACTATTACAGGTTGTAGTGATCTTTCTTTCTTAATGGCCTTCAGAAACTAAGTATTGCTACTATATCATGTGACTGAACTAAAAACAGTTTGTAGTTGCCTAATATTAAATACATCTAGAATACATTCTCTTAAGGTTTCTGGATGTGTCTACCATATGCATTCTGCATGATATATCACACACAAGCAGGTCATCCCCTTTCCGTTCTCAACTTTTTAGGAAAATATGTCATACGCATTTTGTATATCATATATCCGACACAGGTGGAACATTCACCCAGGGCTATGGTTCATCTCCATCTTGAGAACTGATGGAAATGCCTTTCCATTATTTGGAATATATACCATATGTGTCACACACACATAGGATGTGTATGGTATAACATGCACCAATGTCTATGTGGTACTTATAATTTGAGATTTTATTTATTTATTTATTTTCACTTATTTTCATCATATATGTTTTCAACATGCAGGTGAGTTTAATGATGTATTAGATGATACTGGTACTTCATATAGCTCTGGAGCCATGCAAGAGATAAGTATCTCCTATGCCAATGAGAGGCAGTCACATTCCTTGCAGTCAAATGGAGCAATACTTGTAGAAGAAAGGCATAAGTTACTGGAAATTAAACAGCTGACATTGCAAACTCCCCGAATTAATGTTACACTAGTCAGGGACCTCTCTTTGGTGGTCCATAGTAGGGAACATTTACTGGTGAGTGATTTGATCTAAGGCAAAGTATGGACTATGGAACATCATTGTCTGTTGGGGTGAACATCATCCTATGAAATGAATGGTGGAGACTGGAGAGAGAGTTGGACCCAACAAATATGGCATGAACCCATTGGTGGTTCCCTCTTTCCACATTACTTTTTCATTGAATGGTGGCCCAACAGAATCTTGCTTTTCATAGTCCAGTAGATTATACTTTCCTCTTTATTTTTTACACATGTTTATTGGGCAGATTGGTTGAAATTTTCTTCCATTAATCATATTAGAATATCATTGCTATATATAGATTATGGGTCCAAGTGGAAGTGGTAAGACTTCTTTGTTAAGAGCCATGGCTGGCCTTTGGAGCTCTGGTAAGGGAAAGATCACATTCTATTTAAAGGATGCAAGGGATTCTCAAGAGCCAAATTCGGAGGAGGCTGCTCCTATGGAGCTGGAAAATGCATCAAAAACAAAGAAAGAACTTGAAAACTTCAACCAAAGAAGATCTGCAAACATATTTTTCCTCCCCCAAAGGCCATACATGGTTTTGGGAACACTACGTCAGCAGTTACTATATCCTACATGGAGTGAAAATGTGAATGCCACATCGGAACAAAATCAGTTTTCTGGTACGTGTATCTGTTGATGCAATTGTATATTAACTGCGTATCAGTGGAACTTTTCCTAGGTACTGTAATGGACCTTTTCCCTTCAGATGTAATTTTCCAAAATTTGTGCGAATCAAAATTATTTATCAGTGATGGATAATTATTGAAGAAATATGGTTCAGCAGCTTCAGCTTATTACTATTCAGTACTCTTATTTAATTCAGTACTCTTATTTAGTATGAACTCATTTAATTTATGTTCTATCATCTTGCACACACATGCATGCATGCATGCAGATGTGTACTACTTTTCTACACTGATTTGCATATGCATACATATGGATTTTATTCCTAGTGATGTTTACCACACGTGTGCCAACTCATACAAACTTATGTGAGGCCACTTTCATGGTTTTGGTTGCATGCACATCAATGAAGACATGCACAAGAAAAATATGTATAATTGTACACGCTTACATTCAAGCACATATATTCATTCTTCATATGAATACACACTCATACATACATGCTTATGTACATGTGTATATAGAAGCATACATGCATATACATATATAGGTAGGTACATACATCAAATTTTAGAACGTCTGCGCCATGTTCTAAATATCATGCTAAGGATAGTGATGCAAACTAGAGAATCTGACACCTCCATACTGTCTGAGACTAATGAGAAGTGTTGAATGTTGATGTTTTATACATTAAATTCATCCCCCTATTAAAGGAAAAGTAAATGAAGACACATTCAGCAACATTTAAGAAAATGGATGGACTCATCTTGTTGTGCTGTCTCATTGCCTGATGAAATCATTACCACTCAAAACACACATCTTACCTTGGTTTCAAAGAAGTTTTCCTTTGTTTTTCTACTGAAAATATTTATTTGCATTACTCCAATGTTTGTATTTTATGTGGTGCTTCAAGGATGCTACTTTTGATATATATTTCTCAAATTTAGTTATGAACTTCCTTTCATTTGAGAGAAATTCATTACAAATGAATTGCTCTGGGGTATTACTCAAATGAAATTCATTCCCAATGAATTTTTCCGGGATATTACTGCAAAATGCAGTATTTAAAGCATGGCGAAGTTCGAATAAAATGGCGTAACATGTTGGTTGTTATCACCCACAGGTTCTTTGCCGTTTTTGTTCAAAGCACCAAATTCTAAGGAAATATATGAAAATGGTATGAAACCCACTGATGAAGATCTCAGCAGAGTGCTAAAGACTGTGCAACTTGGTGATGTAGCAGATCGCTTTAATGGCCTCGATTCCATTTTTGAGTGGTCAAGTGTCCTTTCACTTGGTGAGCAGCAACGCCTTGCATTTGCCCGTTTGTTGTTAGCTCGGCCCCAGTTGGCATTGCTCGACGAAGCCACCAGTGCATTAGATGAAACCAATGAGGTAGGAACCATTCTGTATGTAATTTAATTGATTCTGGCTTGATATTTATAGTAAATCTTGGAGATGTACTTGGAGTTTCCAGGTCACATATTACACGTGCTCATTCGTGCTCATTCTTAATAGAAAAAAAGAACGTATTTCACTTGCTGGCTTCTTAAAGCATATTGCACTTTGCTTACTTGAAAGTTAAGTTGCACTTTGATTTCAAAATTTGGTCCTCACTTTAGAGGTCTCACTTAACATATTACAACACTTGCTCAATTTTGAGTGAGGGAGACTGTTGCACTTGCTTTGTGCTCTAATATCATTCTCAAACACACTTCTCAAAAAAGCTTATAGTAAAAGAAATACCAAAAACCTATTTGATCTCAGATATGTACTTTAAAGTAAATGCCTTCAGTTCCACATATCTCTAAGCTGTAGTAGTTGCATATCTATTCCCTCCATTCCTTTTTCTTTATGTATGGTTATTGGATATAACTTCATTAAGTAAGGAAAATAAATAGATACCATGGCCTCCTCAATAACTTCTGCATCATAAACTATTTTATGCAGGCTCATCTCTATAAAATGATTGAAGCAGCTGGGATTACATATATAAGCGTTGGTCATAGGAGGACACTTTGTGATTTTCATAGCCAAATTCTCCGGATAGGCCAGCCAGATTCTGAAGATTTTGGTCAAAAAGGCTGGGTTCTTGAATCCATGAACCTTGCGCCCACCTTAAATACTGTGGAGCCAGCAGTGTGAACACACCCAAAAATCATGCAGAGACTATGGCTATTCTTAATAGCACAGAGGGATTTCATGAAGTGTTGGGTACTCCCTCCCTCCCTCTCTCTCTCTCTCTCTCTCTCTCTCTCTCGTC